TCTATCGTTTGCTTAGCCGCCTGTGTATTTATGTACAACAAGGAAACCAAATCACTCCGCTTTGATCCGATCTACTCAACTTTCAAATGTAATCTTATAATTGTCAGAATGCTAAACTTTACAGCAGTCTTGACGTGAAAGCAATGTACCTCAAAGACACAAGTGCATTAGATAGATAGATAGATAGATATGTATTCATTTAATCTTTCATTCAGACACACACAGAGTCCATAAAACACAAAAACAGACATCAAAAATACAGACAAAAAAACTACAACACACACTATATTTACAAAATTCTGTAAAGACAGTTCCTCCAATACCTCCAGAGTTCAGAAGTATGCCTAACACTGCGCTGCACATGAGCAGTAAAAACATTCATGAGCTCATTTAAAGAGTTCTCAGAGCGATAGATACTTTATCGATCCCCTACAGGAGAAATTCAAGATCACCAATCCCAAATCGGTCTCAAGGCCTGGGACGTTGGTGGATCGTGGGGCAGACAGACACCACTTTAATGCAGTGCACTCCAACAATAGGGCGGCTCATTGGCTCTCACATCTATCTGTCAAGTGTGCTATTAGGCTGTCAGGCTGGGGACAGCAGTGCCATTAGGCCACCCCGATAATCAGACCTATTTAGTGGCTCATTTTGCCTCCCTCATTGTCACAGTCACGACGTGGTCAAAAAAACAGCTCTGCCTTTCTCCTGCCGTCATGGCTGCCCTCCCACCTGTTTTCGGGATCAATTGGTCCGTCATTAAGTCTTTCTTGAGAGTGATTGTATATCCACTGAATGAGCCGGTTTTCAATTAAAGTGTTCTTCCATATAAAAGATACAAGGTTAACAGCCTCTTACTCCACCTTAAAAACAAGACATGGCTGGATACTACTGGATACTAAAGGCTGCTACAAGTGTGGACACAACAGGTACAACACTAAGACATTCATCTACTGTACGGACCACTTTAGTCCACAAGCCTGAATGTCCATGTGGTCATTTTTATATAGGCCGCACGTAAATTAAAGACCTGACTGACCGAGCACAAACAAACCATTAGAGCTGAGAACTCTTTATACCCAACAGCCGTGCATTATAAAGAGGCCAACCATGGGAGTTGCAACAGCCTTTAAATATGCGGCATACAGTAGGTCCCAGAAACATCAAGAGGAGCAGACCGACTCCTTCAGAGAGAATCGTTCTGGATTTACACACTAAAGGGGACTGCATTTTCTGGTCTCGATGGTGAGTTGAATTTCTTTCGGACCATTCTCATTTGAACTTTTTGTATATTTATAATTGTGTTGGCATGTACAGCATCATATACTCTATGTACATTGCCAATTGTATCTAAGAATTGTGTTTGTTTGAATTTTGCCACAAAGTAGGTTAGCTGTGCCAAATGAAAGACTTGATGAAGGCCCAGTGCCAAAACGGTGGGGGGAAAAAGGTTTTTAATTAATATTCTTTTTGAGTGGCTCAGTCTTTCAATCTTTTTGCAGACTTTTTATGACGTTTATATTTCACAGTGAGGCCAATGACTCACACAATGTTACTTAGTCAGTTACTTTGCAAGCAGTCGTTAGACCCGCCCCCTACAGGTTCCTAATCAGATGCAATGAATTCAAATCTCTGCTAAACAGGCCCCTCTCCATTGGTTTAACTATTCTCCTCCAGCAAATCAAAATGGTGATGCTAAACCCCAGGGGAGGGACCGTTTTAAATATGTTTATTATGAAAAACACTTAATAAAGGCATACCTATATGTATTGTTTTCAAAATGAAGTTGCAGGCATCACCTTTGACTCATTGACTGCCAGCCATTTTTGATGATTTTGCTGACTTTCAAGACTCACAGAATATTATGTGCTATGACTATGTGAAATATGAAACCAGATTCTGAAAGACTGAACTGTCTACTTTCACCAGCAAAAATCTGTTGGTTTCTAGCTAGTTTTGTTCTCCTGTTCTCCCCAGTCAAATGCAGGGAATTGACAGAAATCACCAAGACAAACACGTCTCAAAAAATCGAAAAAGTGATTCTAAGATCTAAAATCCACAGTCCACAATGTTAGTCTATCTGTGTGCATAACGAGGCTTCTAAAAAAACGTGAAATTGTTATTGTTATTAATGTGACGTTATTTACAGTCATAGTTCCAGACAGAATTGACGGTGTAAACTTCTTGCTTTGAGCGTTAGAACAGAGTAATTACCATCATCATTAATCTATTCTCTGTTGCAGCCAAAGTTAAAGCGTCTCTCTTGGCTTCTAGTACATTGCTCTTTATGAAGCGGACAATGCGTTCCAGAAACCCAGCTTTCTTCATGGTTTACTTGGACTAAACAGGCCATGCTCACACTCTATTTTACACACAGACTTCATTAGAAACAGAGATGCCTGGACTTCCTCCTCCCGAGACACTTCCTCAGACTCTGTGGAGACGAGAGTTTATGGTCCAATTCATGCTAAGAAAAACACAACAGTAAGGACTTTAAATGTTTCACTTGGTTTGCACTTGTCCCCTGGTATGTGCAGCCTGTGAACAAGTCAAAGAACTAGGAAAGCATGACCAATTCTGTTCAGCGAGCACTTCCATACGCATCCTTTTTTTATAGTGTTACGAGCCAGTAATAACAACTCCTCAAAGTTTAAATAGATTCTGTGTAAATAAAAGCTCGAGTCCTGACTAGAACCAGGAAGTACGACCACATTAGTCCAGTCCTCAGGTCTCTGCACTGGCTTCCTGTGGCTCAGAGAATAGACTTTAAAACAGCTCTGCTTGTGTACAAGTCTCTCCATAGCCTCGCACCAAAATATATTAGTGACATGTTAGTCCCATATGAACCAGCCCGGACTCTGAGGAGCACAGGGACTGGACTCCTGTTAGTGCCCAGAGTCAGGACTAAACATGGGGAGGCTGCTTTTCAGATTCATGCTGCTAAAATCTGGAACAGTCTTCCTGAAAGTGTGAGACAGGCCTCCTCTCTGACAATGTTTAAAACCAGGTTAAAAACAGTTCTGTTTAGCTGTGCATACAACTGAGGGATTTTATATTTTTATCTTTCTTTTTAATGTTCTGTGATTATTTATGATTTTAATGCTTTCTTATTTTGTTCAGCACTTTGAGTTGCCTTGTGTATGAATTGTGCTATACAAATAAACTTGCCTTGCCTGAAAAAATTCATCTTTTTTTGTATAGCACCTTTCACAGACCAGTGACCACAAAGCCACAAAGCACTTTACAATTGTTGTGGGTATTCATTTGCGACATTACAGACATTACAAAATATTCTTTATTTAGGTCAATGTGTTGATATGCTTTTGTTTCACAGATTTCATTCATTTAAATAAATATATTAATGTGTGATCAATAGGTAATAATTGCACTTGTTGTATACTTGCACATTCAAATCATATTCACTACACTATTAATACATTATGTTTTATATTATTTTTTTGTCTTGTCTTTGCGTTCTGTTTGGGGTTGTACTTTTTTGTTTGTGTTTTTGTTTTATGTTGTGTTCTTTTTGTGCTTAAGGTTGCTGTGGAATATTCACAACAGCCTTACAAGAACATGCAGGAATATTGTCGAGTTTAATTCAACAAAGACCAAAGAAGAGTCATAGGCTGCAGATTTCAGATGTAACACATGGGTATTTGCACAAGAGATTACCATAACCCATGTTAAAAGATGCCGTCTCTGAAATGCCCTGAAAGAAATGCAAAGTGAGCCTATTTCTGTCATCGGGTTTGGGTAAATAAACTCCAAAGAAACAGCTGCAGTATGTAACATGAGCAGCGTATAGAGGTTTGCCGGACTGCTGACACTTTTTTTTGTTTTTGTGGCTGCCTATGTTCCCATGATCTGGACATTAGTTCCTGTTCATACCGTAATGTGTTTCGTTGGGGTCTTATTTTTTTTTTACGTAGTCTGTTTTCTCAGACTTATCTAAATTGTACTAGGGTATGAGATATTCAACGGGACGATGACGCACTCTTAAGACAATATAGAGACACAATAGGATGATATCAATCCTGTTGCTGAACCAGTGTAAGCAAGCACTTTAGAATTTAGTCTCATCGTCTAAAGAAAACTAGCCTGGAGACATTTTGGAAGGTGTTATTCAATGTGATATCACCTTTTGGATAATTATACAGCAAATACATGTATTAAACAGGCAGCACGGTGGCGCAGTGGTTAGCGCTTGTGCTTCACAGCAAGACGGTCCTGGGTTTGATTCCACCTCCGGGCCTTTTGTGTAGAGTTTGCATGTTCTCCCCGTGTCTGCATAGGATTCCTCCGTGTGCTCCGGTTTCCCCTACCACTACAAACACGTACAACAGGTCTGGCATGTACCTCCTGTATGGCAACCTCGCTCCCATGTGTGGAGTGAGAGGACGATTGCCCAAAACAATTGAAAAGAGCTACATAAATAAATATTACTAACTTACTTACTTAAGTAAACCAAAAATATAAGTTTTGGGGAAAAGTTGAAGTACACAAAGGCTGGTCTATGCTAGATAGATAGAGGAACTCGATAGTTAATCTGTAGATAATAACGAAAATACTGGGCTGTTTGAAAAAAAATATTGGCTATAACCTTTATGCGTCCATGATTGAGCACATTGTACCTCATGTTAAAGCTAATTATACATGGAAAACAACCACATCATTTGGTTCTGTTTCCATTCAATTCATAACTGTACTCATATTGTTCAGGTATAACAAAAATAACTATAATTCTAGATATAATTTTTGTTTTCTCTTATTTGAAATAAACATAGTGTGGTAATCTTTAAAATAAATATATAAAATAATGTCCAACCCAACCCAAGTACAACCCAAGATTTGTATTTCTTCCAGGCAAGCTCAGCGCATAGAAAAGAACCATTATGGAGGTGACAAAGTGGCTAAATCTGGATTCCATCTTTCTCGCAGGCCCCATCTCATCATCCTCATTATCACAGTTATCACAGTGCAGTGGAGGGTCCACTTACCGGCCTGGTTGGTGGTGATGTCTATGGTGACATGCTGCGCTGGGTATGGGCTCTTATTGCTCACACCGTTCACAGCTTGAATCTCAAAGCTGTAGAGCGTGTGCGCCACCAGGTTACTGATGAAGACCCGAGTGTCGGTGAGGGTCATCTGGTGCGGCACAAAGTCCACGTTCTCGTCGCAGTGCGAGCAGGAGCGGCGGTCTGCACGGCACTTCCGGCACACGATGTTGTAGACCACGTCACTGCGGCCGCCCGTCTCTCTGGGCGAGTGCCACTCCAGGATCACAGACGTCTCGTTCACAAAGGAGATGACGTTCCGGGGGCTGGATGGGACACCTGGAATCAGAAGGACAGTGGGAGAGTTAGGATTGGTCTGACTTTCTCGTCTGTTTATTATTTCAACCATGTGATAGATGGTAGATCTGTCTCATTACAATAACATTACATCCATATAGGATCTTTGTACTCTCCTGCATGTTATGAAACCAAGAGACACATTTCCACGCCAGTTGGCAATACAGTTTTCCTATTCTTATTGAGGTCATGTTAACGGTGACATACTGTAGAGAGACAGGTGTAAATACTTGGTTATTTTGTTCAATTTTGTTCAATGTTTTCTTCATGCTGTTAATACCTAATACTTCTACTTCCTTTAAAATAGTAGTGCTTTTCTGATTGAGGATGAGGCGAGTTCTAGAGAACAGGATGGACAAATCATGGCGTGTAGTTAGACGTCACACCCATCTTCCCATGGTCTGATCACTTGACCACGTCAAAGAGTAAAACATTTATATGATAGTATAAATAGTAGCAGAAGTAATGCAATGTATTCATATAGAACATGATTTTGCTCATAATTCATCATTAGTTCATAATTTAGGCATAGATAAACATTTGTTAGATCAGAAAAGACTACTAACTTTAACATTTTGGAGGCATTATAACTTAAGGTTTGCTTCTCTATCATGTGCTGCCTTGCTGTAACACATGTTGCCAGTTCTGACAACATGTGTATTCTTTTTAGAAGCTTGGACACCCAAAACTGTATTTTTAACAAATATAGTTATCATCAAGTTTGGCAATGGTTAAAATGGCCACACTGAAAATGACAAGGCAACTGAAATATCCACAGTGATGAAAAAGTGTGAAAAAGTCTTGGAAGTTGAACACTTCAGGTGTAACTTTGTACAAACAGGACTCACCTCAAGTTAAGCCGTTTGAGATGTTAATTTATTCTGCTCACACTTTGAAAGACCATCCAGCGAAACATTAGTTTCTATCAAATATTAGTTATTTAGCACAAATCAGTGTAGCATGTAGTATTCTTATCAAGTAGCTCAGGAATTCACGCTCCTGTTCCCTTCCTCGACACATGCAGCTGCTACTCTGTTGCAGGCGACGAGGCTTGGGCAGAAATCAAGGATTAATACAAGTATTGTGTTGCCTGAGTGCCGATTTAATATTAGCTCAGCGTGTGATTCTTTTCAGCTCTCTTTTCTCTGAAACACAGGGTGGATTTATACCACAGTTCCTTTTAATGTCAGAAACTCCGCAAAAAAACACTGGAGCGATAGTAATACAGTATATATAGTTCATGTAAATAAGATACTCTTAGGGTGGGATATTATATGTTATTCTTTTAATTTGATTTAAGAACAGTCTTATGGATTATAGATGCACATGGAACAGTGGCTCAGTTGGTAGATCATTTGTTTTTTAACCTAATAGTTGTGGGCTCCCCCATGAACTGATGTCTGGTGTCGTTGTGTCCCTGGGCAAGACACTTAACCCCACTTTTCCTAAAGCCCCCACAGAGACACTGAGACCATGTTTCCGTGGACCCACCACCTGCAGGATGATCAGTGAATAGGTGAAAATATCGTACAAAAGTCCTTTTACTTCTGTAATTCAACTTACTAATCAACTTGAATGAATCTACATACAGGATACTCATTACACAGAAACGCCAAGCCATGTTGATAATGTTGATAATTGAGTCAGAAATAATTGAGTTTCACCTCTATGCTATGTTTCATTAAACAATCAAAAAATAGTAATATGAAAAAATTTACCCCAGTAGCTAAATCCGTGCTCCAAACTATTGTTGTTTTAGTTTCTTACCAAGAGAGAAATGCAGAAAGGGACGATATAGACAGCATATGTTGACTGTGTGCACTTGAGAACTGTGTAGACATAAGGCAGGAGCTGCTTCAGTCAACAAGAGACACAATTAATCACTGCTCGCACTCGGCACAGATCGCCCTGGGGACCGAAGACAAAACTAGCAAACACACAGGGGTGCAGGGATGGCACTTTAAGCACCGCAGTCTCTCCACAGCACTTCTACAGAGGGTCACAGACACCAGGGCGAGACCTCCATATTGTCATCATTATGCTCTGCCTGGGAGGGCGGCTGCGTCTCCAAATGCATCAAATGGTTCATAATTCGGTCCCGTATTGCACCTAAAAGGGAACGGGAGAGAAGTATAGGTATGTACACAAGACCTTTCCGACCCTCAACATTTTTGTCTGAAAACATGTTCCAATTTCACAGCAGGGAGTCTCAAACTGGTTTCTGTAAGATTTATTTTTGTTGACATGAAATAACTGCTTGGTTTCATATCGCGCTTTGTACAAAATACATTCGACAATTATTATGGCGTACTAACGGACGACAATAACATACAGGTGAAACTTGGAAAATTAGAATATTGATCAAAAGTATGTATTTCTGTGTGAAAAATTTACAATATAGACTTATTGAGTTTTATCTACTTATGTATCCATAACAAATAAAGGTCTGATATATCTCACATGTGTTTAATGAGTCATATATTCGGGGCGACAGTAGCTCATTAGCACTGGCCTGAAGGCTGTGGGTTCGAGTCCTCCACGGAACCTACTCCAACTGTTCCCACTAATGTCTGTTGCCGTTGTGTCCTTGGGCAAGACACTTAACCCCACATTGCCTGAAGCTCCCACTGAAATACCAAGGCTGTGGAACCATTGATGTAGCAACCATCTTCCTGTGGACTCACCACCTGCAGAGGATCAGAGAGGGACTGGTGCTTTGAGCATTGGGTGGCAGCTCTGACCCAGAAATGGATTAATAAAGGGGTAGAAAATGAATGAATGAATGAGTCATATACAGTATTCATTTATCTTCTTCACACTTCCTTTCAAGCAAAATTGTTTTTTGATATAGGCATGTTTTATGATTATAGAAAAACTCCGGTGTTTGCCTGAAATCAATAAATAAATTAACAGCAAACATACTTTTAATTTTAAGAGACAATTTCTAAACATCCCACAAGGCTTTCTCAGTTACATCTTTCAGAACTAGGCTGACGGCTTAAAATCCTCCATAATTGAAAGTTAGTACTGTATATACTTGAAGTTGCTGTGAATTTTTGAAGATAACGTTAAGCAGTACTACTAGTAATATTACTTAACTTTCATTTGAACATTTGCACTGACAGTCCAACAGTCACAGACTTATACACAGGGCGGCACAGTGGAGGTGTGAAACAGACATTACAAGGCCTCATCACCATTACCAACACGCACGGGTGATGCAGGGACAGCACCGCGGATCAGATGTGACTGCTACTTAAAGTGTGATTTGCAGACTATTAGGGATGCCTTGGGCTGTTTTAATTTGCTATTGGATTTAATTTGCTTAGAATGATACTAACAGCGATCCCAATAGCGTTCACTTAGCCGTGCCTTTGTAACGGCAGGTGATATGACCACGAATCAATACTGCTTTTTTAGCTTTAATTAAGATAAAACCAAGATATAAACTGATAGTACTTTTAAAATGTGATGAGAAAAATTCTTGAAAACACATCAAAATAAAGTGTATTCAACCTTTGGCAGTTTCACTTGTAATACTTTTTCTGATGTAAGTACCTCACAAAAGTCTCTTCATAGATCTCTAGTTGTCTGTTGTCTCTTCACACTTCCCGCTGTCACCTCTTGTTCTTCTGGTTGAATTTCCAGGAAAAATAAAAACTCTAAATATCGGCTTTTCGTGACAACTGACTGATCTGGCAGTAATAGTTTTTGGAGGCTTGTACAAGTAAAACGTTTACAATCCTGTGGTAAGCATGACTATGTGCGAGTGTATAGTTGTGAAGAAGAAAGAAAAAAGCAAGGCATTTTAAAAGATAGTGCATTAAAGCTATACATTGAGCGAGATAAGTGTCTGCTTAGTCCAACCCATTTTTCAAACTATGTATACTGGTTTACACATGACACTCATAAAATTAGATTATGGTTGATTTATTTCTAGAATTCAACCTAAAATGAGAAACAAATACATTATATTCCGGTTTCCCCTACCACTAAAAACATGCACATTAGGTGAAATCCTCCAGCTACGGTAGTCCTGACCAAGCCGAGCATCAACATCTGGAGATGGATTCCCGAGCGCTGTTACTACGGCGACCACTGCTCCTGACGTAAGCCTTCGTGGCATCAGGATGGGTCAAATGCAGAGGATTGAATTGCCCTACGGGGATCAATAAAGTGCACCTTTACCTTTATATAGTTAAGCCTTTGTTTGCTATCTTTTTGATGATTATGGCGTATAAAGACTGGCATTATCAATTTTACATCGTTAGCTGAATTACAAAAATCCGTGGACTTTTGAGCCAAGAAATACTATAACTACCACTATTAACTACCTACATAATAGCCTTACATAGTCTTGATACTATCAGAAAATAGTGTAACCTAAGATAAACGGGTTTCTCTCTCCCAGGACGGCCACTATCTGGACGGCCCTGTGGTTCAAATTAAACACTTGTGCACATTGTTTATCCATCTTTTCCAAGAGGAGGGTGTGAGGGAGAGGAGTGTTTGTTTTATGATGTGAGACAGGCCTGCAGGGACTAACAGAAGGTCTCTTTGTGGAGATAGTGATCACAGCCAGAGAGCGGCGTGTGAAAGGACGCAGCGCTGTGTGGGCAGTGCGACATGAGACGAAACAGGGAGGAAGGCTAATGTATGAAGACAGAGGCCTGGGAACGTCAGAGGGGATCTGTTGATGCTCCTTGAACTAAGCTTTCCTCTTATGTTGATTTCAAATCCTAACATGGAAATAGGCAATTCAAATTACAACAGTTATAAACTAGGGTTGTCACTTGTGAAGAAATAGAGCAGCCATGTCTACAGTCGTGTGTTGATCCTCTGGCCAGAATTTCTTGGCCGACTAAAAAGGGAGAGCACTTGAATATTATGCTTTTTGTATCAGGCCCAAACTGGCCAGTCTAGAAATAAATAAACTACTATTTATGCCTTAGTGCAGGGGAGCTCAATACGTGCATTGCGAA